CCGGGATTGTCGGGTTCTACAAAGAGAGGCGGCAATTCTCTTTCTTGCAGATAATGGTGCGAGGCGTTAAATAATAGATTCCTCCCTGAAGAGGGGCGACAAATTATTTTCAGGAACTCTCTCCTCTCTCGGTCCCGGAGTCTTTTTTTTTTTTCGCGGGGAAGATGTTCCAGATAATCGCAGTGACTGGCGGTTCAGTCATTTAGTATTCACTCGCAGCATTGCTGTAAATTATGGAGTGAAATTGACGAGCGCGGAGAAGTCATGTGCAGCGACGTGGCCCTTGTCTGCTACTTGTCGGCGCGATTCCCGCGGGACGCTTTGTCCTAAAACATGAAATATCGTGCTTTGTTAACTCCGCCAAGATCTAGGCCGCCCTCGCCGCTCGCCCTCGCCGCGCGTCTTCGCTGCTTTCTTCTGTTTTTATTAATTCGCTAACAACTCGGCGACTTGTTCTACAGAATCGCTCTGCTGTTCCTTTCCCGGCGGGTCTCACCTGAAACCGTTCAGCTGGGGATTGGTGGAGGGACCGCCCGCCGAAAACTCGGTTATGGGAGCGGGCCAACAAGCTGAGCGAGGCGTCCTGCACACCGGGATCACCGGAACCGGCCCAAAGATCACATCACTCTCACCGGACACTTGATCAGGTCCGCCTATTCCTCTGCTTTGTGACACTTAGTAACTATGTAACACAAATCGCTAATCAGCCAATCACACGGCAGCAACTCAATGTATTTAGGCATCTAGATGTGGTGAAGACGACTTGCTGAAGTTCAAACCAATCATCAGAATGGGGAAGAAAAGGGATTGAAGTGACTTTGAACGTGGCATGGTTGTTGGTGCCAGACAGGCTGGTCTGAGGATTTCACAAACTGCCGATCTCTGGGGATTTTCCCGCACAACCATCTCCGGGGGTTACAGAGAATGGTCTGAAAAGGAGAAAATCTCCAGTGAGTGGCAGTTGTGTGGAGGAAAATGCCTTGTTGGGGTCAGAGGTCAGAGGAGAATGGGCAGACCGGTTCCAGATGATAGAAAGACAACAGTAACTCTAATAACCCCTCGTTACACCCAAGGTATGCAGAATACCAACTCTGAATGCACAGCACGTCCAACCTTGAAGCAGATGGGCTACAGCAGCAGAAGACCACACCGGGTGCCACTCCTGTCAGCTGAGACCACACCGGATGCCACTCCTGTCAGCTAAGACCACACCGGATGCCACTCCTTTTAGCAGAAGACCACACTGGATGCCACTCCTTTTAGCAGAAGACCACACCGGGTGCCACTCCTGTCAGCTGAGACCACACCAGATGCCACTCCTGTCAGCAGAAGACCACACCAGATGTCACTCCTTTCAGCAGAAGACCACACCACATGCCACTCCTTTCAGCAGAAGACCACACCAGATGCCACTCCTTTCAGCAGAAGACCACACCGCATGCCACTCCTTTCAGCAGAAGACCACACCGGATGCCACTCCTTTCAGCAGAAGGACCACACCGGATGCCACTCCTTTCAGCAGAAGACCACACCGGATGCCACTCCTGTCAGCAGAAGACCACACCGGATGCCACTCCTGTCAGCAGAAGACCACACCGGATGCCACTCCTGTCAGCAGAAGACCACACCGGATGCCACTCCTGTCAGCAGAAGACCACACCGGATGCCACTCCTGTCAGCAGAAGACCACACCGGATGCCACTCCTTTCAGCAGAAGACCACACCGGATGCCACTCCTGTCAGCAGAAGACCACACCGGATGCCACTCCTGTCAGCAGAAGACCACACCGGGTGCCACTCCTGTCAGCAGAAGACCACTCCGGGTGCCACTCCTGTCAGCTAAGAACAGGAAACGGAGGTGACAATTCGCACAGGATCACCAACATTGGAAAATAGAAGATTGGAAAAATGTTGCCTGGTCTGATGAGTCTGGATTTCAGCTGCGACATTCGTATGGTGGGGTCAGATATTTGGCGTCAGCAATATGAAAGCATGGATCCATCCTGCCTTGTATCAATGGTTCAGGCTGGTGGTGGTGGTGTCATGGTGTGGGGGATCCATCCTGCCTTGTATCAATGGTTCAGGCTGGTGGTGTCATGGTGTGGTGGATCCATCCTGCCTTGTATCAATGGTTCAGGCTGGTGGTGTCATGGTGTGGTGGATCCATCCTGCCTTGTATCAATGGTTCAGGCTGGTGGTGGTGGTGTCATGGTGTGTGGGGGATCCATCCTGCCTTGTATCAATGGTTCAGGCTGGTGGTGGTGGTGTCATGGTGTGGTGGATCCATCCTGCCTTGTATCAATGGTTCAGGCTGGTGGTGTCATGGTGTGGGGGGGATTTTCTTGGCACTAGCAAGGTGGACCCAATAAAGTGGCCGGGGAGTGAAAAAAAGCCACATTATGGAGCCTCAGAGGATGGACCTCTGCATTGGGCGGGGTCCCGTGAGGCTCCAAAACATCGGTTTTACTACTATGATGCGATCGCTTATTAAATATTTTAACCCGTTCTGGAGATCCCTCGATGTGCAGGCCACGTACTTCCTCCTCCGAATGTCTCCGGAATCCAGCCACTGGGCTCTACAGGACCCTCTCACATATACAGCCGCTCTCAGCAAGGTGGACATCGGGAATATTCCAACCGGCCGGACCTCTCCTCCTCGTCTTATACCTCAGGAGATTTCACTGCTTCAGAGTTCCCACAGTCCAGAACACAGTCCAGAACACAGTCCAGAACACAATCCACAACACAGTCAACACAGAACACAGTCCAGAACACAGTCCAGAACACAGTCCAGAACACAGTCCACAGAACACAGTCCACAACACAGTCCACAACACAGTCCACAACACAGTCCACAACACAGTCCACAACACAGTCCAGAACACAGTCCAGAACACAGTCCAGAACACAGTCCAGAATGGATACAACAAACTTTGTTTATAATAAAAATAAAAATCCTTTGCTGAACTGCTTCTATCTACCTTGTTGTAGGAGGTGGAGAATGCGGGCGACCAATGGGGGGATTTACTAAAACTGGAGCACAATAATAATAATAATAATAATAATAATGATGATATTCTCTCTGGCAGACATGATATAATATTTATTCTCAATAATCATAATAATAATATATAGTACTGAACATAATAATGATTATTAGTAGTAATAATAATAATGTGTAAAAAAAAATAAAAAATAAAATAATAACAATAGTAAAGATAATGGGGGGGATTTACTAAAACTCGAGCACAGGAAAAATAATATAAATTGTGTTAATATCAAATAAAATAATAATAATAACAATAGTAACGAGAGCGGATATAGGGAATGCAGGGTCTGGGGGGAGAGCGGATATAGGGAATGCGGGGTCCGGGGAGAGTGGATATAGTGAATGCGGGGTCTGGGGAGAGCGGATATAGTGAATGCAGGGTCCGGGGAGAGCGGATATAGTGAATGCGGGGTCCGGGGAGAGCAGATATAGGGAATGCAGGGTCTGGGGAGAGAGGATATAGTGAATGCAGGGTCCGGGGAGAACGGATATAGTGAATGCGGGGTCCGGGGAGAGCGGATATAGTGAATGCGGGGTCCGGGGAGAGCGGATATTGTAAATGCGGGGTCCGGGGGAGAGCGGATATAGGGAATGCAGGGTCCGGGGAGAGAGGATATAGTGAATGCGGGGTCCGGGGAGAGCGGATATAGTGAATGCGAGGTCCGGGGAGAGCGGATATAGGGAATGCAGGGTCCGGGGAGAGAGGATATAGTGAATGCGGGGTCCGGGGAGAGAGGATATAGTGAATGCGGGGTCCGGGGTGAGCGGATATAGTGAATGCAGGGTCCGGGGAGAGCGGATATAGGGAATGCCGGGTCCGGGGAGAGCGGATATAGGGAATGCGGGGTCCCGGGAGAGGGGATATAGTGAATGCGGGGTCCGGGGAGAGCGGATATGGTGAATGCGGGGTCCGGGGAGAGCGGATATAGTGAATGCGGGGTCCGGGGAGAGCGGATATAGTGAATGCGGGGTCCGGGGAGAGGGGATATAGTGAATGCGGGGTCCGGGGAGAGCGGATACAGTGAATGCGGGGTCCGGGGAGAGCGGATACAGTGAATGCGGGGTCCGGGGAGAGCGGATATAGTGAATGCGGGGTCCGGGGAGAGCGGATATAGTGAATGCGGGGTCCGGGGAGAGCGGATATAGGGAATGCCGGGTCTGGGGAGAGCGGATATAGTGAATGCGGGGTCCGGGGAGAGCGGATATAGGGAAATGCGGGTCTGGGGAGAGGGGATATAGTGAATGCGGGGTCCGGGGAGAGTGGATATAGTGAATGCGGGGTCCGGGGAGAGCGGATATAGAGAATGCGGGGTCCGGGGAGAGCGGATTATAGGGAATGCCGGGTCCGGGAGAGCGGATATAGGGAATGCCGGGTCCGGGGAGAGCGGATATAGTGAATGCGGGGTCCGGGGAGAGCGGATACAGTGAATGCGGGGTCCGGGGAGAGCGGATACAGTGAATGCGGGGTCCGGGGAGAGCGGATAAGTGAATGCGGGGTCCGGGGAGAGCGGATACAGTGAATGCGGGGTCCGGGGAGAGCGGATACAGTGAATGCGGGGTCCGGGGAGAGCGGATATAGGAATGCGGGGTCCGGGGAGAGCGGATATAGTGAATGCGCGGGTCCGGGAGAGCGGATATAGGGAATGCAGGGTCTGGGGAGAGAGGATATAGTGAATGCAGGGTCCGGGGAGAACGGATATATAGTGAATGCGGGGTCCGGGGAGAGCGGATATAGTGAATGCGGGGTCCGGGGAGAGCGGATATTGTAAATGCGGGGTCCGGGGAGAGCGGATATAGGGAATGCAGGGTCCGGGGAGAGAGGATATAGTGAATGCGGGGTCCGGGGAGAGCGGATATAGTGAATGCGAGGTCCGGGGAGAGAGCGGATATAGGGAATGCAGGGTCCGGGGAGAGAGGATATAGTGAATGCGGGGTCCGGGGAGAGAGGATATAGTGAATGCGGGGTCCGGGTGAGCGGATATAGTGAATGCAGGGTCCGGGGAGAGCGGATATAGGGAATGCCGGGTCCGGGGAGAGCGGATATAGGGAATGCGGGGTCCCGGGAGAGGGGATATAGTGAATGCGGGGGTCCGGGGAGAGCGGATATGGTGAATGCGGGGTCCGGGAGAGCGGATATAGTGAATGCGGGGTCCGGGGAGAGCGGATATAGTGAATGCGGGGTCCGGGGAGAGGGGATATAGTGAATGCGGGGTCCGGGGAGAGCGGATACAGTGAATGCGGGGTCCGGGGAGAGCGGATACAGTGAATGCGGGGTCCGGGGAGAGCGGATATAGTGAATGCGGGGTCCGGGGAGAGCGGATATAGTGAATGCGGGGTCCGGGGAGAGCGGATATAGGGAATGCCGGGTCTGGGGAGAGCGGATATAGTGAATGCGGGGTCCGGGGAGAGCGGATATAGGGAATGCCGGGTCTGGGGAGAGGGGATATAGTGAATGCGGGGTCCGGGGAGAGTGGATATAGTGAATGCGGGGTCCGGGGAGAGCGGATATAGAGAATGCGGGGTCCGGGGAGAGCGGATATAGGGAATGCCGGGTCCGGGGAGAGCGGATATAGGGAATGCCGGTCCGGGGAGAGCGGATATAGTGAATGCGGGGTCCGGGGAGAGCGGATACAGTGAATGCGGGGTCCGGGGAGAGCGGATACAGTGAATGCGGGGTCCGGGGAGAGCGGATAAAGTGAATGCGGGGTCCGGGGAGAGCGGATACAGTGAATGCGGGGTCCGGGGAGAGCGGATATAGGGAATGCGGGGTCCGGGGAGAGCGGATATAGTGAATGCGGGGTCCGGGGAGAGCGGATATAGTGAATGCGGGGTCCGGGGAGAGCGGATACAGTGAATGCGGGGTCCGGGGAGAGCGGATATAGTGAATGCGGGGTCCGGAGAGAGCGGCTATAGTGAATGCGGGGTCCGGAGAGAGCGGATACGGTGAACGCGGGGTCCGGAGAGAGCGGATATAGTGAATGCGGGGTCTGGGGAGAGCGGATACGATGAATGCGGGGTCCGGGGAGAGCGGATATAGTGAATGCGGGGTCCGGAGAGAGCGGCTATAGTGAATGCGGGGTCCGGAGAGAGCGGATACGGTGAACGCGGGGTCCGGAGAGAGCGGATACGGTGAATGCGGGGTCCGGAGAGAGCGGATATAGTGAATGCGGGGTCCGGGGAGAGCGGATATAGTGAATGCGGGGTCCGGGGAGAGCGGATATAGTGAATGCGGGGTCCGGGGGAGAGCGGATATAGTGAATGCGGGGTCCGGGGAGAGGGGATATAGTGAATGCGGGGTCCGGGGAGAGCGGATATAGTGAATGCGGGGTCCGGGGAGAGCGGATATAGTGAATGCGGGGTCCGGGGGAGTGGATATAGTGAATGCGGGGTCCGGGGTGAGGGGATATAGTGAATGCGGGGTCCGGGAGAGCGGATACGGTGAACGCGGGGTCCGAAGAGAGCGGATACGGTGAACGCGGGGTCCGGAGAGAGCGGATACGGTGAATGCGGGGTCCGATCCGAGTGTTCGCGGATGAAAGTCACGCTCTGATGATCAGATTATTGAACGATCGCTTCGGAAGGCGTATTTTTTTGCGCGTTTTCCTGATTTGGGGGTTCTGGCCTTCAGACACCAAAAGTGAATATTTGCTTCTCTCACCCGGCTGGTTTGGTGCCAGGAGGTGGTCATGTGATAGGAAATATGACCTGATTATTGTATATTGACAGTCTGCGTATTAGATCGATCGGATGAGATATTGATCGCTCATTTGTTGATTGATCAGGTTAGAGAACATAGAAGAGTGGCGGCAGAAAAAAGACCAAGAGCGTCATCAAGTCTGCCATTTTTTTTTTTTTTTACTTTTTTTTCGTCTTAATAGAGATCGATGTTTGTCCAAAGAATAAATCGATTGATCGGGTTATATATCGATTGATCAGGTTATTTATCAATGAATCAGATTAAATTCCAATTGATCAGGTTATTGATTCAGGCTATATTTTAATCAGGTTATATATCAATTGATCAGATTATATATCAATTAATCTGATTAAATACCAATTGATCGGGTTATATTTTGATTGATCAGGTTATATATCAGTTAATCCGATTAAATACTGATTGATCAGGTTATATTTTGATTGATCAGGTTATATATCAATTAATCAGATTAAATTCTGATTGATCAGATTATATTTTTATTGATCAGGTTATATATCAATTAATCAGATTAAATTTTGATAGATCTGATTATCATTTGATTGATCAGGTTATATGTCAATTAATCAGATTATAGTTCAATTGATCAGGTTATATTTTCATTGATCAGGTTATTGATTGATCAGGCTATATTTTGATCAGGTTATATATCGATTGATCAGATTAAATTCCGATTGATCAGGTTATATGTTGATTGATCAGATTAAATTCCGATTGATCAGGTTATATGTTGATTGATCAGTTTAATTTCCGATTGATCAGATTACATTTTGATTGATCAGGTTATAAATTGCACACGTGTTCAGTATTCGTCTGCCATGAGCCGCCGTCAGGCTGTGCTCCCCCGCGGTCAGCAGCGGTCGATTATCACCCAGCATTTGCGCAGGAAGCAGAGGTGAAATCTCTCCTCCCTAATTATATTCGGTGTGTAATTTCCAAACTTCGCTCTGAATTTTGATTTTCAATTAACACTCCCAATTTGGAGATAATTTTCTATTTATTATAATTACAGGAAATAATTTATTGGCTGATTAGGGCCCAGCGAGCCCCGTCTTCCCTGAGCAAACAAGCGCAGAACAAGCCGCCATTTAGGGCTCGCGGCGGCCCCGACGGGCTCTGCGTATTTGTACAGCTGCGGGTTAATTGGAGCCCATTGTGTGCCGGTGGCCGGGGGGCTCCCAGGAGATTCCTATCTGAGGGCCCCGGGAACAATCCATCTCTTCTCCGGGGAAAATAAAATACATATTTATTGGGGCAACGGGGTCACTGCCGCCCCTCAGGGGGGTCGTCTACTAAATGGAGAGAAGCAGACCCATCGATCTACAGGACTCCTTCACTACACCGGTCTCATGTCAATATATTATCCATCGATCTACAGGACTCCTTCACTACACCGGTCTCATGTCAATATATTATCCATCGATCGATCTATTTATCTCTCCATCCATCCACTATACGGAATCCTCCACAGCTTGTAATGTGATTGGAGGAAGTTGTCTGTTACATTGTTGCCGTTATCCCCTTGTGTGTCCTTGCTTTGTACAGCGCTACATGGAATGTTGGTGCTACAAAACCAAAAAGAGTACCACATCTCTCCCCAGTGCAGAAAGGATGAGCTGTATACCTGTGCAGGGGTCAGATGTACACGGTGTGTAGGATGAGCTGTATACCTGTGCAGGGGTCAGATGTATACGGTGTGTAGGATTAGCTGTATATCTGTGCAGGGGTCAGATGTATACGGTCCGTAGGATGAGCTGTATACCTGTGCAGGGGTCAGATGTATACGGTCCGTAGGATGAGCTGTATACCTGTGCAGGGGTCAGATGTATACGGTCCGTAGGATGAGCTGTATACCTGTGCAGGGGTCAGATGTATACGGTGTGTAGGATGAGCTGTATACCTGTGCAGGGGTCAGATGTACAGTATATAGGTCCCTGTAGGATGAGCTGTATACCTGTGCAGGGGTCAGATGTATACGGTGTGTAGGATGAGCTGTATACCTGTGCAGGGGTCAGATGTATATAGGTCTGTAGGATGAGCTGTATACCTGTGCAGGGGTCAGATGTATACGGTGTGTAGGATGAGCTGTATACCTGTGCAGGGGTCAGATGTATACGGTGTGTAGGATGAGCTGTATACCTGTGCAGGGGTCAGATGTATACGGTCCGTAGGATGAGCTGTATACCTGTGCAGGGGTCAGATATATACGGTCTGTAGGATGAGCTGTATACCTGTGCAGGGGTCAGATGTATACGGTCCGTAGGATGAGCTGTATACCTGTGCAGGGGTCAGATGTACACGGTCCGTAGGATGAGCTGTATACCTGTGCAGGGGTCAGATGTATACGGTCTGTAGGATGAGCTGTATACCTGTGCAGGGGTCAGATGTATACGGTGTGTAGGATGAGCTGTATACCTGTGCAGGGGTCAGATGTATACGGTCTGTAGGATGAGCTGTATACCTGTGCAGGGGTCAGATGTACAGTATATAGGTCTGTAGGATGAGCTGTATACCTGTGCAGGGGTCAGATGTACACGGTCTGTAGGATGAGCTGTATACCTGCGCAGGGGTCAGATGTACTGTATATAGGTCTGTAGGATGAGCTGTATACCTGTGCAGGGATCAGATGTACTGTATATAGGTCCGTAGGATGAGCTGTATACCTGTGCAGGGGTCAGATGTACACGGTCTGTAGGATGAGCTGTATACCTGTGTAGGGGTCAGATGTACAGTATATAGGTCTGTAGGATGAGCTGTATACCTGTGTAGGGGTCAGATGTATATACGGTCTGTAGGATGAGCTGTATACCTGTGCAGGGGTCAGATGTATATGGTCTGTAGGATGAGCTGTATACCTGTGCAGGGGTCAGATGTATACGGTCTGTAGGATGAGCTGTATACCTGTGCAGGGGTCAGATGTATACGGTCTGTAGGATGAGCTGTATACCTGTGCAGGGGTCAGATGTATACGGTGTGTAGGATGAGCTGTATACCTGTGCAGGGGTCAGATGTATACGGTCCGTAGGATGAGCTGTATACCTGTGCAGGGGTCAGATGTATACGGTGTGTAGGATGAGCTGTATACCTGTGCAGGGGTCAGATGTATACGGTCCGTAGGATGAGCTGTATACCTGTGCAGGGGTCAGATGTATACGGTCCGTAGGATGAGCTGTATACCTGTGCAGGGGTCAGATGTATACGGTCTGTAGGATGAGCTGTATACCTGTGCAGGGGTCAGATGTATACGGTCTGTAGGATGAGCTGTATACCTGTGCAGGGGTCAGATGTATACGGTCTGTAGGATGAGCTGTATACCTGTGCAGGGGTCAGATGTATACGGTCTGTAGGATGAGCTGTATACCTGTGCAGGGGTCAGATGTGTACGGTGTGTAGGATGAGCTGTATACCTGTGCAGGGGTCAGATGTATACGGTCTGTAGGATGAGCTGTATACCTGTGCAGGGGTCAGATGTATACGGTGTGTAGGATGAGCTGTATACCTGTGCAGGGGTCAGATGTATACGGTCCGTAGGATGAGCTGTATACCTGTGCAGGGGTCAGATGTATACGGTGTGTAGGATGAGCTGTATACCTGTGCAGGGGTCAGATGTATACGGTCCGTAGGATGAGCTGTATACCTGTGCAGGGGTCAGATGTATACGGTCCGTAGGATGAGCTGTATACCTGTGCAGGGGTCAGATGTATACGGTCCGTAGGATGAGCTGTATACCTGTGCAGGGGTCAGATGTATACGGTCTGTAGGATGAGCTGTATACCTGTGCAGGGGTCAGATGTATACGGTGTGTAGGATGAGCTGTATACCTGTGCAGGGGTCAGATGTATACGGTCTGTAGGATGAGCTGTATACCTGTGCAGGGGTCAGATGTATACGGTGTGTAGGATGAGCTGTATACCTGTGCAGGGGTCAGATGTATACGGTCTGTAGGATGAGCTGTATACCTGTGCAGGGGTCAGATGTATACGGTCTGTAGGATGAGCTGTATACCTGTGCAGGGGTCAGATGTATACGGTGTGTAGGATGAGCTGTATACCTGTGCAGGGGTCAGATGTACAGTATATAGGTCTGTAGGATGAGCTGTATACCTGTGCAGGGGTCAGATGTACACGGTCTGTAGGATGAGCTGTATACCTGTGCAGGGGTCAGATGTATACGGTCTGTAGGATGAGCTGTATACCTGTGCAGGGGTCAGATGTATACAGTCTGTAGGATGAGCTGTATACCTGCGCAGGGGTCAGATGTATAGGGTCTGTAGGATGAGCTGTATACCTGTGCAGGGGTCAGATGTGTACGGTCTGTAGGATGAGCTGTATACCTGTGCAGGGGTCAGATGTACAGTATATAGGTCTGTAGGATGAGCTGTATACGGGGGGCAGCTGTGTGCCCCTGTTATTGTTTTG